GAGTGGATCAAGTAACAAGTTCTGACTTTCTTTAGGATTATATAATATTACCTGATTCGCCCTTTCCGTTAGTTAGGAATAATCTTATACCTTACTATCTTAGTAGACCCTTTATAATTATCCCCTCTCTTAAGGTTAGGTAGTCTTAATTAACGCGTTTATCTTATTATTATAATATAGATATATTAACGCGATATCTTTTTATAGGGTTTTTATTTACCTTATTATTAAGGCGATAAAGAGATTATATAATTAATTAGTAAATAAAGATATGTTAAATTATATATTTAAGTCTTTATTTATATTTTTAAGTAGTAACTCTTTTCTTCTTTTTCTTTTCTTTTCCTACGCTATATTTATCGTGCTCTATTATTTATTATTTATTATTCCTATTATTTTCTATTATCTTTTTATTACTATAACTATTATTATACCTTATTATTATTATTTAGATTAGTTATTATACTAACCGGCGCGTTCTATTACTATTTTATTTATCTTCTTATAATATACTAAGTACTTTTAGACTAAGATTAAGGTATATAACTCTAAATTACTCTTTATTATCGAATATAAACTAGATATAGCAGTTTTAGTTATCTATTAGTAGTATTCTGCCTATAATATATTATATAATATAGTATATTCTATAGTATCTTATTTTGATTTATACTAATATTATTTAGGTTATAGAGGGTATAATTAGGGACGCCTATAATCTATAGATAATCCTTAATTAGCTAAATAAGGAATTCCTAGAGCTCTTAACTAAAGGTACTCTTAAAGAGAGGGAGAAATAGAAGGAGGAGAATAAATAAAAGAATAGTATACTAATTATAACCAGAAAGGCTATAATAGAACTTATAAAGATCTTTAATATAATAGAGTTAATATATTATTATTAGTTCTCTTTTATTACTATCTATAAATCAACTATAGTAAATAGGATTGTTAGTATTAATATAATTTTACTAATATTTTAGTAGGCCTAATATAAGATTTATATAGTATATATCACTATTTATTGCTAGGATATAGCTATTTATATCTTTTTATCTAAGGATCTCTTAAAGAAGTATCTCTGAAAGTTCTAGTCCTAGCGTTTTCTCTATTTAGTTCCGGGAGATAATAATTTTATATATTAGATAGTAACGAAATAAAAGCTTCTAGTAGTCTTATAGATATAACGGGGTCCAAAAGTCTGGGTATAGCACCCTACTTTAGTAAAATCCATATTCTAACCCCTTTTTTCTTTTCTCTCTACCATAACGAATATATGATATTTTGGTACTGAAATTAGTATAAATCATAGGTAAAACAATGAATTATCAGAATCTACTCGCGTAGCGATTATTTTTGCTCTCGAAAATAGCTTAAGTCCTACTAAAATCGCTCGCGATTTAAATCTTAGCCGTATTACAATTTACCGGACTCGCGATTGCTTTTAGTAATACTATACTCTTAAATTATCGCCTAGAAGTAATAGACCTTCTAAGATCAGCGATTAGACTATTCGATATATCTATTAGATAGCCTATCGGAACCCGCGAATAAGTTATAGAGCCCTTAAAGCGAATACTCCCTATTTATACTCTCGATTAATAATTCGACGTATTTTAAAAGGCTACGGGCTTCGAAAATAGAAAAGTAAGAAGCGAATACCTTTATTAAAGTCGGTTACACAAAAAAGACGCGCTTTTGTATATGAATAGACGAGTTTTTCGGATTAGGAGAATCTGATCTTTTCTAACGAATATTTAGTCTAATAAATATCGAATTCTAAGGTCTAATTCGTCTTTCGATTTACCTCCGAGGCCTACCGAAGCGATCTTGTGAACCTCGTAAGTTATAGTAAGGATATTTCGTAGATAATTTAGGCTAGAATCTGGATTAATAGCTGAATAAAAATGATAATCATAAATCGCGATAAAAATATACCTCGGTAAGGTTATACTGCGAACTCCTATCTCGATACTCTCGAAGAAGGTCTTTAACTAATATATAAACTATGCTCGATATTCTAATAAGATAATATAAGGATTTATATAGCAGAAATCTCGTAAGAGTAGTTCGAAAATTATAGGATTTAGGTAATCGACTAGCCTCTATATTCGCCTAACCTTAACCTTATTAAACTAGTATAGCGACTTCTAAAGATCAAAATTCTTTAATTATACCTTTAGCTAGGTAATAGAAGGTCTAAATTGGATTAGGAGGTCTTTAAAAAAGCTATATGCGAAGTATAGGAACTACTTGATTAAAACGTTATTGATAGCTTAATTCGATCTATACCTTGTAGAATAGCTGCTATACGCGTAGCGAAAGGTTAGTATACTAGATACTGACCTATTTTCTTTGTATAGTTAGTATAAATTTATATTAATTAATATTAGGGGAGTTATTTAGTTTTTAATATAGTGGGGTAAATCTGAATTATAGAGTGTACCCAGACTTTTGGCCGCGTAGTGTAGTATCCCAAGATAAGTATAGTCCCGATCTAGTAGTCTCTAATCTAATTAATAATCCTAATACTAAGCGTTATCTAAAGTAGTTAAAAAAGAACTTCCTTATTCCTATTCCTAAGTTTTAAGTAGAGTTCTATATTTGTATTACTATTTTGTAGTAATAATAATAGTATTATTCTAGTAGAGTTTCGGTAGTTTTCTATTTAGTTTATAGGATTTCTTTTTAAATAATATTTTATCTTTTTTATCTTTATTTCTTATATTTTATAATAGCTCTTTTTATATTTATTATATCTTTTTCTAGGATCTATTAATTATACTCTAATAACTAGTCTTTCTATTTAACTAGAAAATAAGATCTCCTATTAAAGTATTAATAGTCTTTTATTTCTTTAATTTCTTATTTATTATTATTTTATCGTTCTGGTATTAGTATATTCTTATTCTTATTCTATTTTTTATCCCTCTAATTCTAGGGTTTAAGAAATAATATATAGAATACGTTATAAATCTAATTATATTAATTTAGTAGAACTAGTCGATATATTTACGATCCGATCTTCTTAAGGATTTAGAGAGGTCCGATAAACTTAGGTACTAATTTTTTTATTTTTTTAATCTTAAATTTCTTATTAATAGAGTAACTAAATCTCTATATTTAAATAATATCTCTTTATAGGTTTTATTATAGTATTTTATTTATATTTCTATTACTTTTCGCTATTATTCTATTAAGTCTTATCTTAATTTTTATAGTTTTTTAGTATATATTTCTATTACTAGGACCTTTTTTAAAAATATATTATCCTTAGTATATAGTCAGAAATTAGGTAAATAGTCTATTAAAGTCTAGATTAGGGATTTTCTTATTATTATATTAGGGGTATTATTATATACAAATTATATATTTTTAAGTAATTTTAGCTATATAATCTATTCTTTATTAATAAAGTAATAAAGATAGTATTCTAGTATCTAGTTTACCCTTTCTATTTAGCTATTAGTTTATAGGTAAAATATTATTAAAAAACGGAGTTTAATATAGCTAATATAGTATAACTTTAACTAAAATTTATTAGTAAAGAGCGATCCTCGATCTAAGATAATTTATCTAGTAGTCTATATTATAGTTCTATTTTGTTATAAAATAATTCTATAAATTCTATAATATTAATAATTATTAGTATAGCGAAGAATAGAGATTATTTTATTAGTCTATTAATAATATCTAGTATTATATTAATTTTTTAGGTTTTATTTCTGTTTAATAATAACCCTATAATAAAGTCTATTAATAATTCGCTAAAGGGCTATAATAGTATTAGTAGCGATTCTAGTTTACTATATAAGCGATATTTTAATATTATTATTCTTTAATATATTATATATATCTAGATATATTCTTTTACGTTATTCTAAAGTCTAATCTAGTAAAACTTCTTTTTTAGTAGTATTTTAGTCCTATTTTACCTAAATAGCCTACTAAAAGATTATTATAATAAATATTTAGTAGCTTCTTTCTAAGATTCTCTTTTATTAAGATAAATAGTTAATTCTTAAATTAAAGAAAGCTTTTAGGATTAATACCCTAATTCTTAAAACCTTTAGATATCTAATTTAATATAGCTTTTAGCCTTTATATCTCTAGGTCTTTATTTTAGATCTATTTAATTATTATCTAGAATTTAGTATTAGTTTCTATTAAATAGATATACTCTTTTTATAAATACCCTATATCTTATATTAAGGTATTCTTTTATCTTTTATAAGTTTTTCTAAATAGCCTAGTTAGCTATTTTTATATTAGTAGACTCTTTTCTACTCTTTACTATATAGATACTAAACTAGAGATCATTTTCCCTTAAAGATATCTTATTAGATTTAAACTAGGACTTTTTAGTAATAAGGTCTATAACTATAATTACTTAAATACTATTAAATAGTTTGGGCTTACCATATGGCTGCCATTTTCGGCGTCATTCGACGTCTTTTCCGGCCGTCATTTGGTAGCACGTGATCTCTATATACCGACACGTCCCGTCCAGCTAACCAACACACACAAGTCAGCTCCACCTATACGGACTTGTAGACTGTTTCGGTTGTCTCCTAAGAGTCCCTCCCCTCTTAACGCTCTACGTGGGCGCCAAAGATAGCCTCCCTGTCCCTATTAAGCGGACCTGGCCTATAGCTATATCACGTTAGTGCCAACCCACCCACTATGGCTCCTTGCTTCTGCTCTTTTATATCCTTTGTTCTTCTTCTACCTTTCCTGCTCCCTTAATCGCGAGTGAGGGTACCTCCTCACGAACTAGCCGCTTACTCGTCTTTTAGTACGCTTCCGTCTATTTAGCTATATTTTAGTGCCGTAGCCTTATTCCTATACGCTTCCTCTATACGTTTACCTTGGTCCTTTGATTTCCCACGATCTTGGAAATAAAGTGTACTCGGTCATCCCGATAGAATAGAAATCTAGGAAACCCCCGAGACAAGGAAGATATTACTACTACTATTACTAATACCGATATAGACGAGTAGAGTAACGCTACTTACGAAACAGACTTAATAGAGCCGGACAATACCTCACGAAAACGTCTCCGATCGGACGAGAACCTTATCTTAGAGTTAGAGATATCCGATAACGCTAGAGAGTTCTACGAGGATCTACTAGATAAAGGCGGAGTTAATCTCTTTAAGATCCCCGCGGATTTCGATAAAGTACTATAAACTATTAAACGACGAGAGCGGATTAAGAGTTAGTAGAAAAGATAAATAGATTATTAAGATCTATTTCGTTTTATAGTCGCTTAATATAGTTATAGATATTATACTAGCTAAGTACGAAACTAGCCTAATATACTAAGATAACGTAAGGCCGAGGAGGCGCTACGTTAGGCGTTAAATAATAATATATATCGGTTCCTACGTTAGTATCTCCTATTTAAGTAAAGTAAGAATAGTCGATATTATCTAGGTATTAATAAAGCTAGTATATTTAAGACTAATTAGAAAAACCTTTATTTATACTATTAGAAGCTTACTAAGATTATAATTAACGATAGAGATAGCTTAAAGATATAAAAGGTTAGAATACCTTAAATATATCCTAATTTAGTTTAATAATCTTAATTTACTATTATATATAGGGTATAAAATATTTAGTATAAGAGTTTGGTTTAGATATATAGCCTATAAAAAAGATACTAGTTTATATTAAGGATATCGGCTTATTTAATAAAACGATTTTATCGATATAAAAGAAAAAGTTTTATCTTAGCTTCTAATATATCTAAATATATTTATTTAACTCTTTTAGTATCTCTATAGTACACCGGCGAAATACTTTATTAAATCTATAGTTTAAGGATCTATAGACCTCCCTCTAAAAAGATCTTTATAAAGGCCCGTTAATTCCTATAATCGAACTTACCGCGGAAGGGATAAAGAAATTCCTTAATTTAATTAAATTATATAGTAAACGTAATTCCTATCTCCTTTTTTTAATACCTTAACTATCTCTTAGTATAGATTCCTCCTAGGAACCCTAGAATTTCTAACTAGAGCTAGATAACTAACTAATTAATAGAACTACTTTTATACTTCCTAAGATTATTTATAGGCCCTCTCTAGTGATATATCTATATATATTACTTTTTAGTATCCTATTTTATATATAGGTATTCTGGAATCAGGGACTAACCTCGAAAACTTAGTTATAGAAACTCTTTATTAATAAAGGCTACGAATAGCTTCTAGTACCTTTAGATCCTAATAAGGCTAATTAGTATATCTTTTATAAAATAGAGTTAGTTAAAGGTGTCCTAACTATTTAATAGACTACGTAGATATCTAAATCGATAATATCTACTTTATTAGTTATATTTAGGGAGATCTATAGGTAGAAAAGGGTATTTTATATCTACTAGTTCTAGTATAGAAGTAGTAAAGTATAGTGACACAGCAAAACTTTTAACACCCCCCGCCCCACACCCCTATTATTATATAATATTCTACTAGCAGAAAATATCAAAAATATATCAAAAAAAGGGGATGAATTTGATTAATATGCTATATACCAACCCTGACTCTCTATAATTACTTCAACACGATAAGGCATACTCTCTGCGAGATGCACTAAATACCTTAATTCTAACTACTGCTATGCCTCTCTCGCTGTAGCCACCAAAATCGCCTTTATATCGTTATTATTCGGTATATATACTAAATTAGGACGAATCTTATAGATTTTCGCTTTTAGTAAGGCCTAGAGGTTCTTAATTAGATTTAAATCTAGCGAATAAGGTAGCTATTTTATTACCTCGATCCCTATATTATATAAAGCCTCGCGTACGATAACTATAGTATAGGTAGGAGTATTATTATACTAAAAAATCCTATCTTTATTCGATATTAAAATTAGTAGGACTTAACGATATAAATCCTTAATAACGAATCGATTTATACCTCCTCTTTCTGAATTTAGATCTCTAAATAATAGGATTAATTTAGTACGTTCTAAAGCACTAGAAAAAGCACCCTAAAATATCTATTTAACCTATTTTCCGCGATATAGTAATCCTTGATATTAGCCTTCTTTTAGCTAATCTTTTAGGCGAATAAAGGTCTATTCTCTTCAAATACTAATCCCTCGCTTAACTATATATTTATTAGACTAATATATACGAGCCTAATCTATAGGCTAAAAGTGTCGATATTAGAGGGTCTATCTAAGTCGTTTTAGAGTATATTTATTAGTTAAATAAGATCGCTAGCTATATCGCTATTTTCGAAGGTTTTTAGTATTTAAAAAGCGTCGAATCGAGTTATATTTCACCTATAATAAAAATAAAATATTAATATAAATATAAAAAAAATAGATATAAAAAGATAAATTATAAACTTTATACGAAACCTTAGTAAGTAAATCCTCGCGAGTAACCTTAGGGTCACTATAAATTGTATTAAGAATTCGCTCTCGATCAGTATTATTAAGCTTCTTCGGACGGCCAGAACGAGGCTTCGATATACCATTAATTCGCTCTCGATCTATTTTGATAGTATATCGAATACTAGAGAGCGAAACCCAAGGGTATTACTTATATATACGCTTATATCCCTAGCTAGCAGCTTGGGATAGTTCGTATATACGCTCGCGAAGCGTAGGGGTCAATTCTGATCGAGGGGCCATGATATAGAGAGAATATAATAAATATGATGAATATAATAAATATAATAAAAATTTAGGGGTAAATATCAAATATTTGGTAGATACATATAGTAGGCGGTGTGGCGGTATGGATGTGGGTCAATTTTGGGGTGTTGAAAGTTTTGCTGTGTTACTGTACTTAACAAGAGTAGTAAGTTATTCTATAGATACTATAAATTTTATCTCTTAGCTTAATAACTAATATTATCTATAGGGTAGATAAATAAGGAGTAATATATATTAATTATAAAGTATACTAGCCTCTATATCTTTCTTAACTACTATTATCCTCTATAGCTCAATACTAATATAATCCAGGTTATCTATAGCCTCGATCTAGATATAGAACTAATATAAGCTATTATATAATAAAACCGTTAATAAGATACACGATATCCACGTTACTTAACTAATCAACAATAGGTATAAGTTAAAGATTATCCCGAGATAGAAGAGGCCCAGCGGAACCTATATAAGATCTGTACGTAATACAAGGAGACCTAATAACCCGGCCTACTTCCCTGACTCTAGTAACGGGAGAAATAGGTAAAAAACACGCGAAAAAGGCTATAACGGAGCTTACGGTATCAGATTCGAGAGAAATTTAATAAAGAGCAAGCTTTTTTAGATATTAAAACACAACTTTTAGATACCGCGGCTAAGAAAGAGAAAAAAAAACAACTTATCTTTAAAGGATACTATATACCCCTTTTAGTTATATCTTATATAGAGTCTTCTTTCTTACCTAGTCTCTAACTCTTTAGAAGATAAGTGGTGTCGGCGTGATACGGATACTACGGCCATTATGTAGTACTGTGATATCCTTGAAGAGGGTCCGTTAAGAGGCCGACCTAAGCAGAAAGCTCTTGAATCTGCGATACCTCAGCCGAACGATTTACAGTAGACCTAAAGTGATATCGACTTATGCAAGGTATATGTCTCTGTACGTGGTAAGCCGTTACGTGCCACCAGGGAATACCTCGAGACCGCTAAATAGCCAGAGGCCTACTTTTAATGCTTCGCGAGTAAAGGGCTTCCGGACAAGGTTCGCTTTTAGATATTTCATAATCCCGGATATATTACGCGCTATTTTGATACTATTCATCTAAAGGAAAAGCCGCTTAAATGCAACTAGTGTGAAGTAACCCTATTACATCAAATAGCGTTCCAGCGCTATGATTTTGATATACATCGTATGCGGAGTCGCTAGCGTTGCCCGAATCCCGTACAAGAACTCCAAAGAACGAGCGGGTCATGATCCATTTAACCCCCCGGGGGTGGGAGGAGGAGGGCGGATAGATATGGGCATACACTGTTATGTTGCTGCTTTTTAACTACTACTAGCTAGGTTTTCAAAGGGTATGTACACCATGCATATCTTTGCTACGATAACTTCTATCTTTGATTACTCGCTCGTGGTAGTTCCGTTTTTAAGTTTTTAAGGTCAATTCAGCTATATTTGATATGCAAAAATATCCATTGAGACTCCCGTAGGACTCACACAATAACAACCAGTTTGTATATTAGGTATATCTACCATGGTTTCTGTTGAGATAAGTGATTGTCTGATTATTGATTGATCAACTTCTTAAGTTATTCTCAACGAGGGCGGGATGCCTCATATATATCACTTCCCAATCCCTACCGTAAGGTTCAGCCACCGTGAACAGTTTCCGGACGAGATTGGGGGACGATTCGGGGACGATTCGAGGACGATTGAGGACGATTAGGGTGGGTACAGGTGGCACCACACATAAAATCAGTTTATCGTCTGAATGCTTATTTCCCAGGAAATATCACGTTTTTCTGGGTCACCTAAGGAACCAACGGGTAAAGTAAGCATCCCACGACAGACCTGATCGCGGGTACACATGCTTCCTGGGAAAGGCCATAGTTTTCCGAGCACCCTACGGATCCCAGGATAGTAAGTATCCCACGACAGACCTGATCGTAGGATCATCTAGATCGTGGGAACAATTGTTCCTGAAAAAAGCCACGGTTTGCCGTAGAGCCAAGGCTTCTGCGATATACTCAGTTATCGGATCACCTAGATCGCTAGACCACCTAGGTCGTTAGATTGCTTTGGTCGTAAGAAATGCCAGTGTTTCTGATAGGCCTAAGGGACCACTTCGGTTCTTACGATAAATTGGATCGTCCAATCACAAATTTTCTAGAAAGACGAGATTTCATTGCTTTTGTTGTATGATATAGATAGTTTATAACGGAATATAGTAGGTGTCCCGAGATAGGCTACGATATTCGAAGGCTATTGCGTCTAAGTAAAAACGCGGTAAAAGTGTAATATACGATCGATGGGATTATAAGATTACTCGAACCCTACTACGAGCTATATATTCCCTTTAGAATTACTATACTATAATAGGCCACGATTATTAGAAATAGGCCTAAATAGACTTTATCGCGAACCAACGGTTTCTATTAACTACTATTAAGATAGATAAATAAAGAGGAATATCTGAACTGTTTATCGCTCAATAGTAAAACCTATGTTATCTATAGCCTTCTCCAGGTCCCGGTCTATAATAAAATTTAGGGTTAGGTAGTAGGAACCCTACAAAGTTAGTCTTATTCCATAGAGCCGAGACTATACAATATACTAATTAGGAAGTAAGGAATGCCTAAAACCCAGAGGAGTCAGAGGATAGGATATATACTTGACCCGTTTCCCGGAGGCGAATACCCACGTATATAGACCTAGACAGACCCGCGGATAACCTATATAGGTTGACCTATGGGTCAGCCTATGGGCGGGTCGTGGGTTAGACCTCTTAATCTGTGGGCGGGTTAAGATTTTTTTGACCTATCCTATAGGTTAATAAATTAACCTATTTAATCTATTTAGATAGATACTTTGTTAACTATATAACTTTTATAAATTATATTATTCTTAGCTATATTTTTAGGTATTATATTTATTTTAGTTAAATAATTTTTTATAGTAATTAGGAGAATAATTCTTAAAAAATAATTCTAGAGAATATTATTTTAAATATTAATTAATTTTAATTTTAAAGCTTATAATTATTAAATATTTATAGATATTTATAAATCTTACTATAAATCTATAGGAGGCTATAATTATCTTTATAATTATTCCTTAATTTTTTTTATTATAATTAGTAAGATATATTAATTATAATTATTAGATCTATAGTATCCTTTTTTTTATTATTACTAATTAGTATAATCTCTTTATAAGTCTTTTAGATCTTTTTTTCTTTTTATATAATTTCTAATTTATCCTATTCCTAAAGCTCTTAAATAAATATAAGCTATTTCTTTTTAACTTTAAATTTAGTAATATATATAAATATTATTAGATCTTATATAATAAATATATTTAATATCTTTTATTAATAATAATAAATATTATATATAGAATTAAATAATTATTTAATATTAATATTAATAGCTAGAATTAAAAAGAGATTATAAATAAGGCTTATAAATATAAGAAATTTATATTAATAATCCTTCTAGAACTAATAAAATAGGATTAAGATAGTATCTAGATAAAAGATAGATTATAATAATTAGTATAATATTTAGATAGATTAGAACTAATACTCCTATTAAAACTAGAGTTCTAAAATAAGTTTTAAAACCCTAGTTTTAATAAAAATAGAAAAATAGAAACTTAATAGATTAGAATTAGGGTTTTAAGTAATTACTTAGAACCCTAGTTTTAATAAAGATATATATAGAAATTTATCTATTTTAATATACTATATTACCTTAGATTAAGAGCTTAAGATAAAAGAATTAACTATTAAAAATATATTAAGCTTATTAGTTTAATAGGACTATTTTATTTTAGATAGTAATTAAGAGCTTAGAATATTACTAGTTTAGTAATTTAGAAGCTAATCTTTAAGACTTTATTAGTATTAAATACTATAATCTATCTAAGGGTAATCCTAGTCTTTAGTTTAAAAAAATTTAATCTTATATTAAAAGACTAAGATAGTACTAATTATATAGATATTACTAAGCTTTTTATTATTTATTATAGAGTAATATTTATAAAATTTATTTTTAGCTAATTTAAGGACTTAATATATCTATTATTTCTATCTAATCTTTTTTCTACTAAACTATCTAATTAATCTCTTAAGATAATTAAATAGCTTATTATAGATAGTAAAAATAGTATAAATAGTAATATCCTTTATTTTTAAAAGGATTATAATAAATTAGAAAAATAGCTAGATAATATTAAGAAGGTAGTTAATCTAATACTATTTATCTATATTAATTTTAAGATAAGAATAATTATATTTAGAGTAAAATCGATTAAAGACTAATTATAACTACTTTATATATTAGAGTATTAAAAAGATTAAATTCTATCTAGTTTAGATATCTTAAATTAGAACTAATTAAGAGTAGTTAAACTAATATGATATCTGGGACCAGGTTACGTTCCTGTGATATCTCCTATATAAGTAGTTACGTGTGAATATATATGATTTCACGTGGATATATTTAGATATATATACTTATACAGCCCTTTACCTTATATAATATATATAATCCTTTCCTAAATCTTATTTAGTAGTATATTAGGTTAAAAAGGGTAATAAATAGTAAGCTAGATATAATAATACGCGAACGGACTATTAAGGGACTAATCTTACCTAATTCTTAGATCCGAGATCCTTTAATAGTGATATAAGGGTACTCTTTTAACTATATAGCTAAAATAAAGTCTATAGAAAAGAGGATATATAACTCTATTTATTTAGAGAGGAAAAGAAACTATATCTTTAAGAGAGAGAACGAGATCGCTTTCCTAAATATAAATCTTTAGATAGATAGACTACGTGAAGTACTAAATCTATTAAAATAAAAGATATCTTATAATTATAGAATACCCTCGATAGCTAATAGCTTATATAGGAATATATCTTTAGAGCTATTAAAACTAAAATAGATATTCCTAAAGAGAATCTAGGCGATATTAAGTATATTACCGCCTAAAGTCATAAAGATATTTATTAAAGAATTCTATAATACTCCGGACCCTAATAGTCTTATAATAACTATTTAGTATATAGCCTAGCTATACTAATAGATTTAGATCGCGGAGTAAAAGATCGAATAGGCCTAGATATAGGCCGCTGAAGCTAATAACTAAATCTATATATAGTTATAGAGAGAAGGGCTAATAATCTTTATTTTTACGATAAATATTACTATAGCTTCGGGCGATATCTTTATATAATATATATAGAGGAACGCCTTAATAAAAAGGGTCCTAAACCTAAAAGAGTTTAATAAGATCTTCTAAAATAACGCGGCGAAGAAATAGCTTTTTAATTATAAATAATACTTTACGGACTATCGCGTATTTAGAGGTCTAGATCTCTTAGAATAATATAAGGTTACGATAGGAAAAGCCTATCTTATAAAAGAGATAATAGACTATTATTATATATATAATCGGTAGATCTAAAAAAATAATATAT